TTATGTTCGATGAACTTCCAACCAAGCCTTCTTCTTGTAACACATTCCCTAAACAAGGCTGCGGCGCTTCATCTCACCTGCTGGATTCAGATGGGTACGTCATAGCCAAGTCATCATGTGATTCTATCTGCACGTGACGCAATGCTTTCAATTCAAGTTTTTTAGTTTGCGAACTTTCGCTAACCTTAACTTCCCCTTCATTTCGTTGTTCCTCAGCCAAATATCCAACCATCTACGAGTAGGTATCCATCTTGATTCCTTTTCCTTTTCATTTCTTCATCCATTTTTTTTACCCAGGGGAGAATCCATTCTTATAGCAGATCCATTCCATTTTGATTTATACTTTTTACTTTGAATTAACTCTATCAATTTGCTTCACAAACTTTTTGGTTCCGCAAGGCCATACCCGAATGGTTAATGTGCATAACAGTTCATTTCTCATTGCAATCTTAGGGACGTACCATAGCGGTTATATGTACTGCCACAGCAATGGCCTTACGGAGTATAGTTTGGCATCAATAGTCAGTTCGGTACATTTTGGTTGTGGACCCAATTAACGCTTCGACCCGACGGTGAGGATTAATTTACAACCATTATTACTTTACGACCCAGCACCTAAAACCCATTGGAAGTCCTTAGTTGCTCCCAATCTTTCAATGTCCGACACGTCCGACTGGATCTATGATGAATCTGATTTACTTCTACTCGCTGACTCGTCACCAAATGCGCAGTGAGTTGGGGACTGCGACCAGTGGAGCGACTTTGTATCCACTATATATACTAACTTTAACTTTTCACATCAATTACGCTATCCTCTACGCGTCCTCCCCAATCTTCATCCATTTTTTCGGTAAAAAAACGAAGAATCTTTACATCCCGAAATATTACCTGTTGCAACGAGTAATAATAAGTATTAGCTCGGTTTGTTTGCTTTTATCACAAGTGCACCGTTATGTATCCGTTACGCAGTTGTCCGGTACAGTTGTACCACTGCATGTATGTACAAGGGGAAAAAAAGGGACAGGCATTCTTGTCAGCAGCGAAATCCTTCCAATACCCCATGCCAGGCTCTTGTTGATGGGTTAATTGTTGCTGCCGTAACACTTTGCGCAAACCATCCAGATACTGCTTTTGACGTTATTTCGGAGAGATGTTGAAGAACCTTAAACATTCATGGCCCCCCATGGGTAGCTCCGAATGCTTACTTACAAGGCTGACCCTTTAATCCCCCCCCCATATTGACGTTTGATTTGTTCAACGTAAGTATGATTGACAAGGGAAATGGTGCTACGCCTCTCATAATAACCGTCCAGCCTTAAACAAGTTGAAGCTTCAAAACTACGCCTCGCTGCCTCGGAGCTTAAAATAAGTTCACGATAATTGTAGGAAAATTATTCACTGCCCAGCTTTGAAACCCCTTGACAAGCATTTTTTTCTTTGCACTTATCTAGTGCTTATATCCCCCACCATCTTTATATTCACTCATGTAGTTTATTCTGATCAAATTCTTATTCATCCCTTGATCCTTTCATCTTTATTATTATTGTTACTCAATATCAGTTGAGAAAACTCCAGTATTTTCCTCACAACTACCCTGCAAAGTTCTTCTACCATCCTTTGACAAAATTCAAACATGCGTCCGATTCTACTTTCTCTATTGGCGTCTTCAACAGCTATCGTCTCCGCCTATCAATCTCTCATGGCAGACGGATGTATACAAGGAAATTTCCATGATCTTGTGATCAGAAACTCCTGTGGAGATGATTTATCAATTGTCAAATGTCTTGCAGAAGATGTTGATTTAAGACACCTGGATCAAATTGAACAATGTTTCATAGCTGGTGGATGCGATGCGATCGATTCTACTGTGTCAGCAGTATGGTTTTCATACGAATGTAATGATCGTCAAGGACCGGTTGAAGAGTTTAAGAAAGAGGATCTAAGAAAGAGAGCCACAGAGACAAGTTCAACTGCTGAAAGTACGACGGAATCCACTGCGACAACGGCTTCATCCTCGAGTTCGAGTTCTGCGAGTACAACCGCTGCCACAACCACAACCTCCGCATCTACAACCGCATCTACGACCGCTTCGACTTCAGCCTCTTCTTCGAGCTCTGCGGCTTCATCCACGACTGCTACAACCGCAAGCGCCACTACCTCTACCACCGCAAGTGCAACTTCTTCCTCGACATCCGGTACAACTACTAGCGCGACAAGTAGTGGAACCGGGACTTCTTCAAGCACACTAGTCTGTTCGACGACCTCTTATTATTCCACGAGTGTATGCTCCTACGGTACAGGTGCATCCACTGGTGTTACCCTTGGATGTGCCACTACCTCAGCTGCATCTTCAACTTGTGCAGCAGGAGTCCTTTGTACAACTGCAGCATCTGGAGAAGATGCCTGTATGGAAATTGACAACACACTTACGTCATCCGGCTTAGCAGTTACAATTTTTTTCGCAGTTTCAATTAGTGCTTTCGTTATTGGACTTATAGTAATCACTTGCAAAGATCGTCAAGCCGCCAATCAGCTTAAAGCGGCTCGTTTGGCGCAACTGGATGCAGAAAGCAAAGAGGCAATGCAATCATATAACCAAAAGAGATCCAAGTCGGTCCGACAACCAGATGCTTTTGGACATTCTGAGGCTGATTTACCTTTGATTACGGAGCCTAGCCACGAGCAAGTTTATTCGAATGAAACTCATCATAACGCTTAAATGGGAGCTTGAGTCCGACATATAAATGCTGAATAATGGGATTAGATGAGGGCGCATGGGAATGGAGTTTGGGGAATTCGATATGAATCGGATTTAAGGATCTGTATTTTTATATGCTTCTGGCGTTGATATATATACTATACCCTTATTTTGATAATTTTCCTTGTCTATTTTCATGAATAGTTGCGTGATAATTGAGCTTTTTACATTTGATATTCCTGATATTTCGAAATAACATTCCATGATAGATATTCCATGATACCAGCGAGCGACTCGGAATGCGGTGATAGAAACATTTTCCTCTAGCATTTGTTAAGAGAAACAATGTTGAAAGCCAAGAAATTTTATAACGTAACTAGAGCTAGGTAGCCATTACAAGTACATAAGTTATACGATATGCTCGATTCAACTTATCGATCTCGTCCCGCTACGACTATGTTTTACTCCAGTTACCAAATTCATATTCAAACAGCAGTTAATTATTAAATGCAGATAAAATAGTAATACTGATAAGTATATATGAATATCTTGATCTTTTAATTCGAATTTAATATATAATCCTAAGTGATTCAGATCTTAGGTGATAAATGATTGCTTTTAGTAATCGTGCTAAGCGAAATGTCTTTATTATTAAGAATGGGATGAAAGCAAACTAGAGATTAGAGATCTTGATACTCTAAGTGAGAAATCCGAATATAAGATAGAATAGGTGAGAGTGGGAGTGTGCTGTTACCGAGACAGGCGAGGAGAGGCAAGCATGAAATCACTTGAAATTTGTAGGTAAGCAGCTACATCTAAGGCAATTAGCTTCAGTTATCGGAGGCTGAGATTCCGAGATATTCAAGTGTAATATGAGCCAACAGGCGGAACAATGGTTGTATAACGACTGATCTGAGATTGTAATGCTTAAGAGTTTTGGGATTATGATATTTTTTCTAAAGTGACCAATGGAATTGAGGGGGTTTCTTATTGGGCACTGAAAGTTAAACTGTGAAATTGGCTTGGAATATTGGGCTTGTTTCATCAACTACCATGCTAGCACCCAAAAGACTTCTATGTTGAGATCGTATGGGTGTACTATTGTACATGGTGGTCTGAGGTGATTTTGAAGATTTTCTGTCTCCATCGTTATCTCAAGCTATGGTCCTGAAGTTGGGACACGATAGAGAATCAACAATTATATTGTCTCCTTGCATTCATTCACATCTCAGGTCTTTGCTGTCACCTAAGCGAATACTTGGTTCATGAACTTAGAGAGGTTTTAGGGAGGAATTTGAGATCATAATGCCTAGTGAATCATAGAATTAATGTCCCTCGCTAAATTCTCTCATTGGAAGATGAATACTATCTTGAATTAATCATCGCTATCTACGTTTGTTTCAACCTTACTGGTAGAAAGTCTAATCTTGTATTCCAGCTGGTGAAACTCTGATTAGATAATTGTATAATTTTGTTTAAAGCTTGAAATTTTAGATTATCTAAAGAAGTCAAAAGCTATTCCTTATTAAAGTTAATCATTCCTTCTAGCGAGTTTGTTAAATCTATTCCTTTATAATCATGAATCAATACTCTGAGTCTTAATAGAACGAGACTATTAGTGAAGTTTAAATAGAGGTTTATATAAGAGAGAAATTTAAGGAAACTTTACTAAAGTTCATATAATAATATGGACGGAGAACTAGGGCCCATTTAATTGTAATGTGTAATTTTTTAAAGAGTTGAAAAGAACCCTAAAGATCATGGACCGAATAAACTACGCGCAAGGGGGTGTTGTTTGACGTGATATGCAACACCTCGCTCATTGACAGGTTGAGCCAATATACGGACGTGAGTTTGATTGCCATGGCCATTATTACCACCTCCTCTACATACCTACTGTCTTTACGTACTTTATTGTAGTTCTATGGAATGATGAACGTCTGGTTCTTAGTTTCATTTTGCTAGTCATCCTACAGCTAAATGCATTCAGTGCTGGGAATTTCTTGTCATTATTAATGCCGTTTTTGTTACAGCTGTTCGCTGTTGATATTTTTAATGCCATTCCGATTTTAGGGCACTCTTGGTAAGATCAGGCTTCCTTTGGGGGAGGCTGCCAACTACTTGTAATTCTCTGTTGCCTATACTAGTGTCAATGTACATGTAAATTTGGGTCGAGAGAAAAGGCCAACGGATCCAAAACAAGCTAGGAGCGCTCCAACACGGCCTCGTGAGAAAGCATTATAAAGACTACAGCTTGTCAGATTATCATAGAGTATTTCATGTTCAATTATTCAACCCAAAAATGCCTTGCAAACACGAATATTTTAAGGAGAGCGAAGTGAAGGATTTGTTCAAGGGCAAGAATAATCAGATATTAATTGCAAACCATCACAAGACATCACACTTGGCAAGAGTCCTAGTCAAAAATGCATCTCGTGAGAGTTCTGAACTGACAAAGTTACAACTTGAGGCTCGATCTATGAGGTTCGATGATAACAGAGGATTATATAGTATCAAGGTCTTCGCCGAAAAACTCGAAAGACAAAAATCAAAAAAATCCGAGTTTTATTTGGATCTTGTCAGAAAATTTACAACCCATTATATCGATATCTATGATAAGTTGTTCTTTTTCGGAAGCTTATTTGCTACTGGACGAGTTACCTATCGCGTGGCATGGATGGAAGAAAACGAAGTTGAGAATTCCTTGGCTACGACCACTCCTCATTTCGATCAAGACGCTTCGGATCATAAGGTAACAGACTCCGTTATCGACTTGTTTGTTGAAGCAGACCCTAAGTACACCACACAAGAACAAGTCAGGGAATGGTTAGGGACACTCGCCCACGAGATGTTACACGCTTTTATGTTCACTTTCGGCTGTCTAAATTGTCACATGCCACCGGAGCAACTTACTGTCGCTGGCCATGGACATGCGTGGCAAGACGCAGCGTATGAAATCGAGGTTGCTTGTGAACGACTTCTAACCAATAGCGTCGATGTGGGTCGATGGGTTTCGTTATACTGTGATGTACTCGATGGCAAGATGCCTATGCCCAAAGAAAGCCTGTTAAAGAAATGGGATATGATAGGACCGATTCCTGATATGCAGACGCCAGTGGTTCCGAAAATAGCGGGAAAGACAAATGATGTTGAGAGGAAAAGTTCTAAACCGTCTTCTGCGGAAAAACAGCTACCTCATCGTCCAACAGAGAAAACGGGTGGTGGTAACGATAAACGTGAAGGTGCTGGCAAGAGTGGTGAACGTGCACCTCCTCCTCGCAAAGAGGAAAAACGCGATCCTCTTCGCAAAGATGGTAGAGAGGAAAAACGTGTACCTCCTAAGAGTGGTGAACATGGGAGGGAGCGTGAGAAACCTGAGCCCTCTAAGAGTGGTGAACGTGCACCTCCTCGCAAAGAGGAAAAACGTGATCCTCGCAAAGATGGTAGAGAGGAAAAACGTGCACCCTCCAAGAGTGGTGTACCTCCTAAGAGTGGTGAATATGGGAAGGAGCGTGAGAAACCTGAGCCCTCTAAGAGTGGCGAACGTGCACCTCCTCGCAAAGAGGAAAAACGTGATCCTCGCAAAGATGGTAGAGAGGATCCTCGCAAAGATGGTAGAGAGGAAAAACGTGCACCTCCTAAGAGTGGTGAACATGCACCTCGCAGAGAGGAGAAACGCGATCCTCCTCGCAAAGATGGTAGAGAGGAAAAACGTGCACCCTCCAAGAGTGGTGAACGTGCAGCTCCTCAAAAAGATGATAAAGGTGAAAGACGTGATCATACTCGCTCGCGACCGAACGAGGAAAAAGGGAGTTCAAGAAACACATCTAAGCAGGATCTGACTCCGGGTGCCGAAAAGAAATCCAGTCGCAAACCCGATACGCCTAAAAGAAGGACACCTCTTGAATGAAGTAGAAACATAGGTGTTGTGGTATGACAACAGGAAAAATAGTACATATCTATAATCTCATTGAAACTAATGTCGCAGTAAACCCAAGATCCCAATAGCCCGCAGTGCCGTTGACCAATCAATAGCTTTCGATTCTAAATGTCATTAGAATTTTCGGAAGATTTACAAACCACTTATAGTCTCCTAGTCCAGAATATTCAATATTCTAAGTAAACGCATCTCTTGAGATTCCTAAGAGCGATCTTCTTGCAGGTATTCCTCAACCTGGGGAAGTGAGAGTTGGGGTTTGTGAAATATGATTGTGACGCAATGGGGCCGACATAGTGAAAAAATTATATGCCTGGTACAGACTAAAAGGACACGAAATTGACCGAAACATGAAGTCTGAATTAGTATTCAGCTGGAAGAGAATGATAGGTTTCGATAGGTGGTTGTTTCAAAATGCCAAGAAATGGCTTCATTAGGTAGGTAGGTACCAAACGATTGAGATCCTAGGTTGCTATTTGAACTCATGCATTTCTTTGATTATTGAATGACATTGAATCAAGAATCATAGTGCATACCAATTAATATGTTTAATTGTAGAAGTGTTCTACTACCTATATTCCTTTAGTAGTAGGCTTTTTAAATTAAATAATATAGCTTGATAACAAAATCGATTGATATTTTTTAGAATTTCAGCCACATCATTTTCCCTTTACAATATTTGCTAGCAGCCATATTATTTAATTTAAAAAGTTTATTTAATTTAAAAAGCCTATTACCGAAGGAACGTAGGTAGTAGAACACTCCTACGATTATGTAATGAATTCCAACCTGGTACGCGAGTTTTCCTTTAATCGGATGCATGCGATGCTACCATAATGCAATGTGAATTAAAGCCAAGTCGAACAAAATTTACCACCACATTAATTCTCATGCCTATACGACAGTTAACCAGGTGTATAAAATCGTATATTATGCCAATCAAAATCGTATAACATGGCCTGACGTGTCTTTTCCACTCTTTGAGGAGCCAAGAGCAGGAATGTAGTTTATAGGTAGGCTGAGAATCTGGACACGGCTCAGCTGCAATTTGGTGGCATTGTGGCTTTTTATTATCATTTTGTAGCCCCTTCTCTCACGATGAGGCTCTAATCGATTTTATAAGCACGCGGTACTTTAGTTGACCACTAGATCTCCAGTGTCTCTTCCCATTGGAATATTTCTCGTCAACAGTGATCATGGATATACAAACTCCATTTCACAGCCATCCGGCTTCGTCTTCATTCCAACGTACTGAGGAGTCCCAAAATATCTCCCCTCATCCAAACCATGACAATGATAGCGAAGCGCAATACTTTCTAGATATCGCCAAACCACCGCGACCCGAAAAGGCATCTGCAGTAATTCATCAGAGGCATTCCCGTGACTCAAATGGAGCCTTTGAGTTGGGGAATCATAAGAGCCATAATTGGTGGAGACCAATTGCTTTGATGGTTATGTGGTTACTTCTGGGCTCCTTAGTAGGCCTTGGACATCACTTTGCGTATCAAAGTCTTGACCAACAGCCGCAAACCGTGTTCTCTCAATCTTGGGCACACAATCTTGGTTCCGCCGCAGCTTTTTTGGTAAAGACTTCCTTCACACTTACCATCTTATTAGCCCTGCAAGAAGTACTTTGGTTCAGTTTCCGCAGAAGAGATATCAAAATATCGTTACTAGACAAATTATTCACTCTTTCAAGCAACCCCTTCAGCTTTGTTCCTAGTGCATTTGCAAATGCACCGCTAGCCACTGCTCTAGCTGGTTTTGCTTGGACCATCCCGATATCTGCCATACTATCTCCCGGTAGCTTAGTTGTAGGACCAATGGTTACTTTCAACAATAGCATCTGTATCGTGCCGACTTTCGCTGCATCTTCGCCTAATATAAGCTTCTATCAGATGATACCCCATGGTTCCGGTATTCAAGGGCCTAATACTGGCATTCAAAAATTAGCCAGCCAGATCTTTGCTCAAGGAGTTATTCTGGATCTCAAATCGCCTTGTGGGACTAATTGTTCATTTCAACATTCTTTCTATGGCCCTGCCTTGCAATGTGTCAACACCTCCAACCCGTCATATTTGAATGAGCAAGTGGCTAGCTACCTTTACTATAACGCTACAGACTTGACAACTTTTAATGAGGATAAGGATTCGCTCATCGAATTGTCAATTACGTACAGAAATAACACGAAAGCAGAAGTACAAAGCGATCTTAACTATGTATCAATCCTTTGCACCGCCTACAATGCAACATACGAACTTTCTGTCAACTATACAAATGGATCGCCAAAGTTCTCCCCAAGTCTCACCTATCACGAACAGCTCCAAAATCTAAATATGACAGAGTATGTTTCCCCAGGAAATTACCCATGGCATTCAAACTCTGCAACATTAGTTCGAGAAGTTTACGACAAGCATCTCAATGGGACATGGGCACAGTCACCCACGACACAGTATTCAACACCTGATACAAACATAGGAAATACAATACTTGTTGGAAATACTGTCAATGCCAACAACGGAGCGATATCATCTCTCTGGTTCGTAAATAGAGACCTTCTTACTGGGGTTCCAGAGCTCCTCACCAATTTAACCATTTCGACACTTGCATTTAGCCCCGAAAGCACAAGTACGAGCTGTTCATTTTCGAAAGAAACACTAGTTTATTATTATAACCCAAATCTGCTTTTAATTCCATATTCTATCGCTTTTTGCCTTGGTCTTATTGCATTTCTAGTAGGCGTTTTTGTGCTTATGCAAACTGGCATTCGTACCGGAGATATCTTTTCTCAGATACTTGTTACAACGAGGAATCCATTCTTGGACGAAATTGCAAGAGGTCATTCTTTAAGTAGTGCGGACGCGGATGTTATGAAGGATTATAAACTTAGACTGGGTAAATTAAAACGTTCTCGTGGAGAGAACGACGATTATAGTGATGGGGATGATGGGAGAGAGGCTGAGCATGCGGCTTTCGGGCTTGCGGAACAGGTGGATAGTTTACGTTAGAATAGTTGGGATAATTTGGAAGAGTTAACATTCTTACTATATTGTCTTTTGCAGCATTGTAAAACTAATAAGTGAATGTGCTTTGAAGAGCCTTATCCTTCAACTTGAACAGGTAGCACAAAAAACAGGAGGAGTGCTTGATCAGGTAGATTAAAGTATTTCGGCCTAACGCCAATTGCTCGCAGCATATAAGGGATCAGACACCGGTCATAATGCCCAAGAAAACGAAGGATATGCTTATTGATTCTCAATTGATACACTGTCAATTCTTGCCCGAACATGTTTCCAAGTATTATCGCTCGAATTTATTATTGCCCCTAAACCAAATATACAGTATTATATCACCATAGTGAGTGATAATCAAAAAGTCGAACTTCAAATAGAGTGCTTAACATCTCTATGATTCATACACAAGGTCACTATGAGTGTGTGTCCATATATTTGGAGATAAAATACAGTTGAACAGTTATTTTCAAACCACGAATTGAAAAAGCTCGTAATTGTACTCCTAGACCGGGCCGACGGTCGCAATTTGCAAAGCATTCACCGTGTGAGCTTGGAGGCACTCGCCTGTGGTTATTGCAATAAGGAAGAGATTTTATATAAGCTTCTTCATAATATCGGAAAGCAAGGCAAAAAACACGAAAAAAGAAAATTCAATGACGAGCAGGGAGCTGGATTCAGCAAAGCGGCATTCTATAGATTACGAGGAGGATAGTCTTGTAAAATTGTGATTGTAGCGCAGAACGACAAAGTATAGACAAAATTGAAGCTTTACGTTGTCGATATTTCGAATTCTCGTTACTCATTAATGACTAGCGCTGTCAAACTGACTCCCATCCAAGAGCTTTTGTCATTTTTACCAAATTCAAACTTTCAAACTTCCACTATCGTATCGAATCTCCTCCCTTCCAATATTATCGAAACAAGGACTCTTGCCGGTTCATATTACCAAAGTCTCAATCGGAGCAATAATATAGAAGATGTGGCCTGTAAGCGGTCATGTAAAGAGTGTAAGAAAATTCGAGAGCATAGGGAAATGGCACAAAGTCTGCTAGAAATAATGTGAAAACGAGGAAAGTTTTTAGCGGGGCTTATGATTCAGTTCGCATGACGCGAGCATTGGTACTGGAGTCCTTCAAGGAACTTACATAGGGAATCAAGTTATCTTTGCATATACCTGCTAGTTTATTGATCTGTAAATGGCTATAACTTAAAAATCGTGGTAGTGATGAGAGGTAGGAAGACATAAAAATACAAACAGCGTTATGAAATCACGTTGTAGAAGCTTGGAAGACAGCGAATATCGCTTGTGTATAAGATGGCCACAAGTGCTTCCACTGTTCAGTGGACTCACCAGCAATCTTCAAGACGCGCAAAGGATTGTTACACTGGCGAATAGAGGGTGAGTTTGAAATACCGGTGGCGAAGTCGGGAAACGTGAGTTCCACCTGTCATGAGTTTGTCTTGGATGTTTTTTTGAGGACTTTTACTATTGTCAAGTTAGAGTCTCACTTTTCGGTGGATACGGGGTTGGGATTGTAACAAGTAGCTGCCGTCTCGCCATATCCGTTGTCATAAAAAGTAAAACAACGCCATCATTTTAAGCTCGACGATAGATAATTCAAGTATTCAGATTGCAGACGAGATACTTGTATCTTCAACTTGGAATGTAACTCTAGTAATATAGGAGATGGAAGACATCTTTAATACACTACTTGAAGATTATTCTTCAATCTTTGTGGGGAAAGAATCGCACCGGATTTTGAGTGAACTACACCAAAAGAAATTCTGAGCAAGGCACTGTGTCTCTACCTAAGCGTGAAGAGATCATAACCCAGAGGAGAGGTCAATTGAGAACAGTGAAGTGTCACCGTATGAAAGCATCCAGAAAGTGTGCCAAAGTAATTGATTCATGTTTCTCAAAGGGATACAATTTTATCACAGTGGATTTGCTCCCAAGGCTTTACATATCAATCTAAGAGTATGGGAATGCACTCAACTATAAATGCTTTGACTGTAGGTTTCCACCAGAGTATGTAGTAAAATGTTTATTGGGAACACTAATAGCGTGTAGGAAGGCATTGCCAGGCAATAATCCTGTGAACTTTCTGGATGTGATTCAAGTGAGCTATTTCGGTAATAATGGCAAATGAACATCAATTCATGCCTCATACCATCCCAAGGTTTAAACAGAGCCCCCCCCTCTGTTTTGATTTGATTAATTCACATCTGATTACTAGGGCCTGCCACAAATTCTTTGTGCGATAACAGATGTCACACCGAGGAAACTTGTGCTAGTTTTACATGATATTAGACTCCCTTTTCGCCTTATTTTTTAGACCCAGAAATAGGTTTCGATCTGGTCGAATGGTCTAGATAATCGGCAGAGGTGAGGGCATCAAAAGTTCCTTCGACAAAAGAGGCATCTAGCGGCGAACCTGGTGATAAAAGGCGATCTAGGTCTAGATCCGAGTCTGGGTTTGGGATGTACGTCCCGGAAAGGTTTGATGCGTGCTGGTTCGAGATGTCTTGGTCCGATATATCTGAATCATCAATCTCATTAAAAGAGTGTCTCGAATATGACTCCACAATTCCATCCTGCTCACTTATACCATAAATTTCCTTTATCTGCCTTATTTTCTCCTTTTTCGTCTCTGTCAGTACCGTATTTGCAAATGCTTCCTTAATGGTATCCTTGTCTATACAACCTGTCTCAACCAAACTCCACGGCACCCACGCACACGCAGCCCTCGCTAGTTTCTTACTCGGTTGTCCCCCAGACTTTCGCATCCGATCCCCCACCACAATCGTTCCTACGCCCTTCCGAGAAAGGCGTTTCACCAAATCCCAAAAACCAGTATCATCCGATATCAGTATCAACCAATCGTACACAGTTGCCCTCCGCATCTTACTTGAATATGCTATGATTGCTTTGTCCGCAGCCTGCGAACTCGATTGAACGAGATTCACCTCGACTCCCGCACGCCGAAGCTCAGTATCAAGTCTATACCGATCAGCAGGCCTGGTAATTCCCACAGCCGCCTCATGATACTTAGTGTTCTTCTCCGTAGATAATTCTCTCGCCACAAACCGAGCCCTTTTTTTACCCTTCAGCTGCGCCGCTGCAGTTAATTTCTTTCCTCTTTCCTTTTCATGGATCTTGAAATGTTTCACCAATTCCACTTGGGATTTCCTTTTGTTGCCACAAATACCACATACGTAAGGTTCATCAGGTTTGATCTTGTACTTTTTGTGCAATTTATGCTCCAGCATGTAATACTCTTCGAGTTCTTTGCGTGATTCTATGACCGAAGAAGGGACAAAAGACATTCCACTTCGGTTGGCGAAGGCGGCGATACTGATGACATTGCCGAAGCGGGAGGCAAATGAACGAAGATTTTGCGCTGCGTCGTACGGATTGATTGAATCAAACGGTGGTATGTTGTCCAGGTCCCATAGGACGATTACTTTTTGTTGGGGAGATTGAGAGAGTTCTGTTTGTTTTTGAACATCGCTCAATGCGAGTAAAGCCGTGTTCGGCTCCTCAGGTATAATGGAAGATGCTGAACGAGTGGACTGAAAGTGCCGTGCAGATATGATTAGATTTTGAAAGCGGGGGTATAAAAAAGTTAGAAATGGCTTATGGGGGAGAAAGCTCGAGGCAAAAAGATGTCTTGACTTGATGGGGAACTTCATAGTCTATTTCGTGTACCCGTTGGAACTTTGTTTAGAGTAGTTTACTTCCTGATTGTGTGAAATGAGAAGCTTGTGACATACAGTCTCGGGGGACTGTATTTCTACAAAACACCTCACCTACGATGGCAGTGTTAGGTCTAAGAATGAGGTTCACCAGGTCGAATCAATCATGTGAAATCCAAGAATCCAAGAGATGAGGATTCAGTGCTTTGAGTGATCTGTGCGCGCGAGATCACGTGACATGTAATATCAGTGAGGTCAGCCAGCTGACCACTCGACCGTTGATACATTGTGTGTTGATCGAAGGATTTGATAGTGTTAAGAGAGGTCTGATTTATTGAGTAGACTCAAGACAGACAGACATACTTAGAAATGTAGTCAGACACCGGTGTCGACCAAACTCGGAAGATATGATGGCATGATAGAAATAGAATACAGGTCTAAATTTTCTATTGGACTTGCTGGCCAGGAATCATATATCAATCATTGGTCTCTTTCATCCATAATTTATGCCGCAACAAACTTTGATTTCAAGCAGCCGAGAATCATATGAGTATATGACTTGAGATTCCGATGGGTGCCTGTCTTCCGTTCCTTCCCGACTTACATTACATGTGAGCTTGCGAAGATAACCCCTTCAAGTACCCCAGAACTCTGTTTACCAACTCTGGTACAGCTTCAGGACTCTTAGTCAGGTTATGTGAAGCGCCAGGGATAACAGCTGAATTCTCCTCGTCGACTTTTCCATCTCCTTTCTTCACAAAACAAATCCATCGTTTTACCAGTGCTTCTTTGTCGACATACTTCGGAACATATTCATCGTTCCCAGAAAATAAGATTAACAACGGACTTTTAGCGGGCAAGCTTCCAAAGGTTTTCTTTAATTGCTCGTCTGTGAGATCGGAGCTAAAGTAGTCATCATCTCCATCATGATTCGGACTTGCTAGCGAGAGCCATCTCCTCGCACACACAGGTGACCCAAAGAATCCTTCCGTGGCTTTAGAGGGTAAGATTTCCTCGCCATCTCCAGCTTCAACCATCTTCTGTGCCAAAGCTATGCCATTCTTCAAGACATCTGCATCGAGTTCTTGTCCTAAAGCTTCACGATCGCTTGCTGGGGCTTGGATGATTCCTCCATCAATAGGAGCATTTGCTTCATGTCCGGGCCCTGTTAGGTATTCCATGACATCTTGACAACCAGTAGAGTGACCCATCAAGATGATCTTGCCTGATTTGATTGTTCTAAAATAGGAAACACATTTAGATAATTCTTGGGCATCTTTTTTGAGGGAGGAGACACCCCATCCGATGTATGCAGAACTTAGAAGAACCTGAGCAAGACACCAATCTCCTGGTAATACATCGGCAATTGATGATGGGTATGGCACAGTGAGTAAACCATCGGATAGACCACCAATAAAGATGATGATGTTTGGTGGTGCTGTGTTCGAAGCTTTGGGTGTGTGTTCGAAAGCAGTCAGTTTAGGTGTCTATGTACCATTAGTAAAAGCATTATTGTGTGGAAGTCTAGTTTTGAAATAAGCTAGCAATAAACCTTAGAAGGAAACTAGCGATTTGTTTATGGATTAGAATGAATCGTTTGGGTACATACAAATAAATGCGTGACACCTTGCCTCTGCGCTGGGACTGTGAGAGCCATTCTGATATATATGTACTCTCAAATTACCTTGCTTTTTAGGTATCAAGAAGAATCAAAAACAGGAAAAACAATGGTTATAAGATTGTAAAGAGTTACTATGCCGTGTTCAAGAAAATATACCTGTTAGCTGCCCACCGGCCAGCTCAAGCTGGATAGTTGATATCCATTGCACACTGTTGCGTTGTTGCCAGCCCTAATATCACGTGCACCTTATACAGGGGTATGACTTTACTTGGACGAAATTTATTTCTAGCTTCAAAACCTCTTTCTCCCCATTCAATCAACAACAACAAGCTTCTTTACCTCAATTAACCACCCTCCCCCTCTAAAACAACTACAATATTCAAAATGTCACCTCATATTCCAACACCATCACCTCTCTTCCGCCTCCTCACTCCTCTCCTCCAATCCTTCAGATCTACCTTCCCCTCAGCAACCCCAACAACACCCCTCAGAACCTTCACCAGCACCCCATCTATGCACAAAAAGAACCCTAATAGCAAAACCGATCCACGAGTAACGCTCATCCGCTACCATCTTCAACATCCCAAGACACCTCGCCCACTGCGATTCTCACGCATGCGTGCGCTGAGGCATTGGACTATTCATCGTGCATGGATGATATTAAGGCGAAAGCAGAGGATCGAGGAGGAGGGTGAATTATACAGGTTTGTTCCCCCACTTCCACCTCGCTTTGATTCTCTTTGAGAATCCACTGCATTTCAATTCCTCTTTTTCAAATTCGAAAATTTATTCAATATGATGAAATATTCCGGATGTTAAACACATTATACACCGAGAGCGCAAAACCCATGTGGAGATTTCCGTTGCCTTCCTTCTGATTGTCTATTCCCCTTTCAAGCCTTTAAAGGCCTGTCTTCAACCAACATGGCTTTCCCTCCTTTCTCCAAGAAACTAACATCCACCCCCTCAGACTTCACCAATCAATGCACAACGCAATGGAAGACCTTCGTCTTCTCGACGGTTCCGGCCAGAAAGAAGCAGGTAGATTATATCGCGTCGCTCTCGAGAAGAAAGGAATTTTCGGAAAAGACGGAGTCCCGATTGAGTACGCGAGAGCACAAACCGACACACCAGCGAAAGAACCATGGAATCATGGATGGACTACAGACAAAACTACAATATGATGATTGCAAAGGTAAGACTACGAGCACCCTCATTTTATTTGTTCATTTTTGTTTTGGTGGAGAGTAATATGATGATATACCTTATTCACAGACCTGTTCTGTAATCTTCTATGTGGACAAAAAAAGTACCAACTGCTGTCTGATTTCTCTTTCTTCTATCGTTGTTTTCGGAAATGAGAGTGAAGCAATTGACTAATCATTCAGTAGGGCTATGTACCGCGGTACATGAGAGAATTTTGAAAGATGAATATTATGAAGTAAACATATATTACTTGTATATCTATGATGGTCAACCTTAGTGATATGGGATGAAACATGATTCGGAATAAAGACCCCGAACATTCCCCAGACCCTCCGTCCCAAGGGACTGGAGCTGTGGAAGTAGATTAGACGATGCAGAATTAGGCAGAATAAGGCAGAATAAACGCCGCGAAAGACGGAACAAGACGCCGTCTATAAATTCTGTAAGAAGTTACGGAAAGAAGGTCAATTCAAATAGTAATCGGGCCATACCCCACGGGTCCGCATCAGACGGTACTTGATGTGTAATTCTATGTACAATGTCGATGTCTTTTCATCTCCATCTCTCCATTTCTCAAATATGCATCGAGTCCCCATTCAATCAATATCCATGTAAAATCCGTCCATAACCATAACCCCTTAACTGTGACCATTAAAACCCAACGCTAATCTGCAATACAAGCAAGTGCACCAACGCATCACCGTCCACATCACTGTAGGATTATCTCTTCTGCTTTTCCTTCCAATCCGAATTTCAAGTTAACCTCCCTCTTTCCCCTTTCCAAGCCTCTCCCCATGGCTTCCAGGGATATGTAAAATGAAATCCCAATTAACAAAGGGTAAATAGTGAACTCAAACAGGTACAAAGTTAACGGAAACCAGGCTGGAAATCCTCAAGCTACTTTCGACGAAAGGCGGAACTGCAAGTCAGACCATGTTTTTTCCGATCAGTCGTTACTAAATAGCCCTATCCAGCCTTACCACCCCGAACATTTTATCATCAGCTTGGTTTGTCCTTCCTGACAAATATACAATCGCCCGTTAGTTTTTCAGTTCCGTTGAAATGTCCAGGTATCGTAGATACAATTGCCTGTGATATTGCTACGGAGTAGGTAACTTCGGACTCGTTCGTGCATTAGTGATGGTTGTGTAGATGATTCCGGTTTCGATGCGTCCCAGACACATCCTCTTTCGATTCTTTTCGTCTTGGTTCAACAAACCCTCCCCACTGCAAACTCCATTCATCTTCTCTTATAGTATAACACAACATCCATTACTTTCCCCTTTTTCGAACGTCAAAAGTGCGGCTCTGGTGGCTGCCTCGAAGACATCATCCACTCCGTCGCCGGTCAACGATGAGCACTCCAAGTATTTCCTTGCGCCGATGGCCTTTGCAATATCATCTGCTTCCTTCGTTCCCACAAATTCAAGAGACTTCTTTCGCATTTCCTCTCTGGCCACAGGATCCTCTCGTAAGTCTTTCTTCAACCCAACAAGTATTATCGGGACCCCTGGACACCGCTCGTTTGCTTCTTCGACCCACTAGCCAAGACATTAGTACTTCGTATCAATTATCTCTAGAAGTTGCAATCCTACTTTATGTTTGACGTTATCTAAAGAATCTGGAGTGTCGATTGAAAATCCTATTAAAATGACGTGGGCTTTTGAATATGCCAGAGGGCGCAATCGCTCGTAGTCTTCTTGTCCAGCTGTATCCCATAATGCCAATTGTACAGATTTTCCATCAACTCTGCAATCCGTCACATAATTTTCGAAAACTGTTGGTACCTAAGATTGGATAAGATGTCAGCACGATTGACAGAGGCAAATGCGCAAGATTGCTACCAAAACAACGTACATAATGCTAGAAATAACGTTAGTAATCAAATCATTCAACAAATCATCAATCTCTGAAGATGACTTACTGTCGGAAAATAACCAAGTGTGAATACACTAAGTAATGACGTTTTCCCGCAAGCACCATCTCCAATTATGACCAATTTCCTGCACGAATGTTAATATCCAGTATTTCAATGGCCTGCTACTTCGTCACAATAAACGCTATCGAGACGACGCTAAAAACCACTAAGAGAGAGAGGTTCTTTGCTTTGGTGATCCCAAGAGATAACGAGGCTGAGTAGGAAAACGAGTCGCCCAATGCTCACTGCAAC